CCCCACATGTTCCAACACCCACAAAAAATTAAAAACCTTATATAAAGATTGCACAAKTGTCTTTTACTGTTTAACATCCAGTAATGGTATATTTCTGTGTAAATARAAACACCAGGTTAACAAAGTGACTCTGAAAATGGACGTGGCCTACACAGAGCACTCCCATGTGATTGGAAAAGGTGGCGGAAACATCAGAAAGGTGATGGAGGTCACGTCATGTCACATCCACTTCCCTGACTCCAATCGCCACAACGCTGCAGGGGACAAAAGCAATCAGGTAGAAGCAAATAGTGATGTGTCATGATTTGTAGTGAATCAAAACCGACTCRCATTGAACTTCAATTGCTTTTTCTTTCGTTGGCGTTGTGACCAATCACATGTGACGATATAGAATCATACATGCAGCAGCTTGTCTTCTAAAAATTATGACCACATTACACCGGCTTCTCTCCACTGGCTTCCTGTTCACTAGTGAATTGATTTWAAGATTTTATTGTTYGCTTTTAAAGCTTTTAAAGYTCAGGCTCTYTCACTCCAGTCAGAGCACTCTGGTCTACCAACCAGCTTCTCTTAGATGTTCATACAGTAGATACATGTTAAAATCTAGAGGTAATTGGGCTTCTGCAATTGCTGCTCCAAAACTGTAACATTTTACCTCTTTGGTCCACTGAGACTCTTGAGACTTTTAAATCGTTCCCCAGGACCCATCACTTTTCTTTGGCTTTTGAATGAGGCAGAATGAGATTCAGAGCTGATAGTTTTTGGTTGTATTGCGTGCCTCTGTATTTTATTTTAACTTTTGTTTTCTTAATGACATAAGTCCTTGACTGCACTGTAAAGCACWTTTGTTGTTTTTGATGTGCTGCATAAATAAACTGACCTTAACATAACATATGAAAACAGAGAGGGGGATACAATAGTAAAGTAGAGCAAATGCCCATTCCCTCAAGYGCCCAGCTTATTCAATCCATTAAATAAAAAATAAAAGTTTGATTAAAATATCAAACAAATGTAGGAATGTCTGCTTTTGTAGCAGAACAAACACACAAGTTCAGGCAGTTATAAGGTTTCTTTTACAAACCCTAAATTTGAAAGGGTTTATCAAGACAAAACATCCATATTTGCAAAGTTAAGCTAAAATATGAGGCTACTTCTGAAAGAGTCAGCTCTTCCTTGGGAGCCTTAGCTCTTACATCCCGTCACTAAAAGCAAATCCACAATTAAATGACACACTTTTTATGTCTGGGTGGAAAGAAATTGTTACTTTTTTCTCCATCTTTTCCCTCAGGTTTCTATTGCTGGGCCTATAGAAGGGGTGGAAGAAGCCCGGAGGAGGATAAGAGTGAGTGGTCAATCTGAGCAGGGACTTTATTTGTCTTAACACCTGTTAGATCCAAAAGATCAATGCGGCGATCAATGTCATGTCAGCCACGAAAACATACTGCTTCATTTGTCAAAATGTCACCTGCGGTTACCTCGCTTATTTTGCTGTCTTCTTCACGTCTCCCTGCCGCATCTTATTTTCATCTGGCTTTTAGGACCTCCAGCCACTGTCGCTGACTTTTGACCTGCCAGTCAGCTTGGTGCCCCAGACTTTGCCAGATGCKGGCTCCCCGCTCATCCAGCAGGTGGTGCAAACTCTGGGGGTCAARGTGAGCTTCAGGGCTGTGCCTCCCCTGCCTCAAGCTCAGCCTCCTTTTTACGGGGGCTCCTGCACAGTCTGGGGGCTGCAGGGCAACACAGTTGCTGTCAAGGTTAACAGAACTAGGTTTAAATTTTAGCCCAGAAATCCTGCATCATGCTATAATCTAACAGGTTTGTTTACATCCCCACCTGCCAGAAGGCGACCTGCATCCTGATGGAGCTCCTGCTCGGGTCAGAGGCTACGGGGGGCGTGGTGAACASCCAGCTGGACGTCACCGCTCAGCAGCATCTCTTCCTGCTGGGACAGAATGGAGCACACTTCCTGAGTGTCATGCACAAGACCCAGGCCCAGATCATCCTGCCAGACCTCAGTGCTCCGCAGAATCCCCCATCACTACTCATCCAGGGCAGCCCTGAGGGGGTGTGTCTGGCTCGGCAGCAGCTCATGGTACATTAAAGCTTTTGCATTTGATTTAGTCGCCGAAACATGAGGTTATACAGGTGTTTATTCATTTGCACATGCATTGCATGCAGTTTTCTGCTATATCGTTACATGTATTGCAATTTTTATTTTGTGAAATTTTGTTGCTTCATCTTTCTCCCATTCTCTGTCTGATGTGTGCACAACATCCAGGACTGTCTGCCAGTGTGTTTGATGTTTGACATGCGTGAAGACGGGGAGGCAGATCCTTGTAAACTGGCTCAGATGATGCAAAACCTGGGAGTCTTCATTAGTGTCAAACCCAAAGTGAAACAGACCAGCAAGGTGAATGTTCACATAAATCTGCTATTTTTATTTATTGAAGGCTCCCCACAAAAAAAAAAAAGGAAACAAATTAAAAAAAAGGTGTTTTGTTGGCTGTCGATCCAACAGTATCTGTTTATATTTGCAGTTTATTCAGTCCAAAATCAGGCTTAGGAGTTTGTATTTTTTCACTCTGTTGGATAAAAATAATTCTTCTCATTTTATATTTGGATTTAAGTTATTCTCCATGTGCTGCAGTGGCTTGAATACTAARGGAAACATCTTTGTTGACGTATATTTATCAGTCAGTTGTGGTGAAGGGTTTGGAAAGGAACATCTCCTGCCTTTATGAGGCCCGCCGTCTCCTCCTGGGGCTTGATGCCTGCGAGACCACCGAGATACCCACACTGAACCCTGACCTCATGATACCCGGCACAGGACTGACCAACTACTGGCTCAACATGTTGCTGCAGCAGCTCCGGCTCTCTGAACAGGGTGAGCTTGAAAASCCTGCGAACGTCAGTGTTTTCTTTTCTTTTTTTCAAATTGAGAGTCAAATTTTCACGTTAAGTTCATGTGATGTTTCTGTGAAGCATTCTAACAAAACTTTTTTTGTATCTCATCTATCCTCTTGATGATCAGGTTCTACTTCTGCCCTAACAGAGGTGCTACCAGGTGCCAAGCTCCACCCCTCACCTCCTCCAGGCCTCGCTTCTCCTGCAGAGGAGGGCAGGACAGGCCTGAGCAGAACGGACAGCTGGCCGCTGGAGAAGGTGCTGCTGCTGTTAAAGGGGACATATCGTGCAAAATCCACTTTTTTTGCCATTAAATGCATTTTTTTGGACTCTCGAAAAGGAGTGCAGAAAAGCGGGGTGTGAAGCGTCTCCCTTGGATTTAAAGAGACAGTGTCAAAACGAGTTGATCTGAGACACACAGAAAAGGGGTGAAAGAGGGGCTTGTGGAGTTACTATAGGGGGAAATTTAGACTAAAGCATTGCAGTTCCAGTTTATATAAATCCCAACTGAATGATTTAAATGTGAAAAAGAAGGATTTAAAAGCATGATATGTCTCCTTTAATGTTAAAAATGCAGAAAAGAAAGTGAAAAGAAAAACACTGAGCTCCGCCTGATAGGAAATACCAAGGCTGATTTCTGCTCCTTTCCCCAGATCCTCGAAAACGAGTACCAATCTGGCCAATCAGAGGACGAGAGCTCTGAGGTCACGGTGATGTCACCGTCTGAGCTGAATGACAGCATCGGCAGTGTGGGGCTGAACAGTCGCAGGGGCAGTCTCCAAGGTCCAGAAATCACTAAGATCCTCAGTCAGGGCAGACGTCACTCGACAGGACAGACGCTAATGTACAGGTAAACAATCACAGATGTTTAGCTAATTTCTGGTGGAGACAATCCTCTATAAATAATAATAATAATAATAATAATAATAATAATAATAATAATAATAATAAAAATAAACTGTAACTCTGATCAACACAACATCCAGAAGGACCATGAGTCATTACAGCAGAAGGCAGTGTTGTATAAAGTACCACAAAGTGATCCTTGAGTAAAAGTACAAGCAGCTTACCAAAAAATTACTTTAAGTTAAAGACTCCTTTAGGAATACGACTTGAGTAAAATTCTTAACGTATCTGATATTTTTGTACTCAAGTATTAAAAGTAAAAGTACTGATTTAAAATGAGTAGTTAGATTTTCTGTAAGAACATTTATTAGGAGGTGACCTCCCCAAAAAAACTGCAGAAAGGACTGTTGTATTAAAATAATTAGTTTGTTAAATTTAGGATGCATGGGTGCCCAAACCTTTCCCCCAAAATGAAAATCTATTTGAGGGCTGCAGCCAAATAAAATAATATAATTCATGAAATACAAATACTTCTTAAGTACAGTCCTTTTATTTGAATGATTATGTCCTGCTGGAGTGTGACATGATTTGTTTTACAAACTAATATGACATCAGAATTTTATATATTTATACTTCTCATTCAACAGCAATTAAAATCACTTGGAGGTACAGTTTATGTGGATAACATTTATTTTTTACAACAACAAGCTGGAATGAAAACAAGCAAAAATGAAATAAAAGTAACCATTTTCTTCTTCTTGCCTTTTAAAAAAATGTAAGGAGTCGAAAGTACAGATAGTTGTGTGAAAATGTAAGAAGTAAAAAGCAGTTTGAGAAATAATTACTCAAGTAAAGTACAGATACCCAAAAATTCTAGTTAAGTACAGTYACAAAGTATTTGTACTTAGTTACTTTACAACTCTAGTAGTAGGGTTGGGCAATATGGGCAAAAAATAAATCACGATTAATTGTGGTATTTAGCCGATGATTAATTTGACAATTAATGCCCTGGAGTCCCTGGACACCCTCATGTCCTAGTCAAAAGACCAATTTAGTGGGAAAGATTTGCTCTCCGTAAAAATCTGTTCCAAGGCTATACATCAAATTTTAAATTGTGTTGATAGATAAATAAATTACAAAACTTTTAAAACTTTTTTAATCATATTAATCATCAAGTGCCAAATAATAACTGATTGATGTTTTTCTGACGATTAATTGCACACGATACGATTATGCCCAACCCTATCTGCTACACAGATATTATAACCAGTGTAAAATAATTAACCCCTCCCCCACTGTTCCACACACACGTTAAAGCTGTTAGGAATATACACATCTCTATACAAAGCTCTATAAACATAAAACTTTATACACTTTAGTTAAAGCAACACAGTGGATTATTAATCATCATGGCGCTGACTTTAAATCTTCTTGTATGATTTTTCATAAGCTGTAAGATTAACATGCCCTCAGGTGTTGTAGTTCCTAGTTTCACCCCCCTGTTTCCTGGATGTGCCAGGTTGCTGAACGTAGAGGTGGAGGGAGGAAGAACTGAGCGGAGAAACATCCTGAGGAGAGATCTGGCTCAAAATCTTCCTGCTGATTCATCCAATGCAGAGGTGAGAATAAGCAGGGAACGCCGGCCTCTGGTTTTATTTTTTGATTGTTTACAACAACAGTTCAGATGAGCAATCCTCAACTGACAGACGAGCAAATCTCTGTCAGCCCAGTGGCACAGGGTATGAATGAGAATAACGAGAGACGAGCTCCACTTTGGTTCCTTTTCAATGTRGACAGGAAGCTGACGAGTCAAACTGAAAGTAGCTTTCCATCCATGCTGTTATGTAGRGTATTGATTCACAACCCTGACCACAGTGGAATTAGATTTTGAGAATCGACTTCTGTGTTGTGTTTTCCTTCCGCTCTTGTTCATCATTTCTCCTTCAAAGGTTACAGCAAGGTGGATTAACAAGTTTCCTGCCACAGCAGCAGAGAGTCGTGTGTGTTGCACGAGAGTGATGATTCCAGCTGTAAAATCCCCCCGGGGGGTGGGAGGGGGGAAATCAATTTCATTCATTATTTACTTTTGTTATTTGCTGTTTGTAGGATTATGACTATGAGAAGAAGAAACTGCTGGCAACCAGAGGTTAGTGCTCCTCAATGTTTGTTTTTAGTTTTGTTACATTGTTAGTTTGTTTCAGATCCATTTTGCAACTGATTATCATGATTGAAAAAAACACATAAACTATGGTAGAAATCAAAATATTGTGTACAACATGATTTTAGTTTGGTTAAATTACCTTTTTTAATGTCAAAAAGCAATTTTTGACGCTGACTGTAAAATCCTTTAAACTCAAAAAGAATGTTAAATTAGCTGTTTTATATTTGTATCTTAGTTAGATTTTTTATTTATTTTTTCATTCCCCAAGATGGCTTTTATTGCAAATMGAATCTCTATATTTAAATGAACTGAACTGAAACACAATGGTTCCAATCATTTAAAGTGGGGTTTTGGAAGATTATGGACAATTAATATATGCTGGGACCAACTACTGATAGGGAAACTTTATAATTACAATTTTTTCGCACAAGTTTATAATCTCAAAAACATTATTAATGATTTTGAAAACACATTGAGACAGACTCCATATTTGTCTAAACCAAGTAATTTATACTGTATGTTGCTCAGCTTGCTCTTTATTACTAAATAACTTTACATGTCTGAAAAAGTGTTTTATCTACAAATGCTCATAGTACTCACGCTACTGATAAATGTTGTATATTCAAAACTAAAATATGAAGAAACCAATAAAAAACAGCACTCTATAACTGTTTTCTAAATTATAGGCAATGCTTTATAAAATTTGGACTTTCCCAAATAACTTATCAATAAGTCGTTAACAGATCCATCGTAAAGAGGCCCTTCTTAGGTCCCTTTACTAATATACTGTACAGGTTTTAAATAGTTTTTGAACAACTGTAGTTTGGAAAAATATTGATTAATTCTGATCAAACTGATCAACTCTGGGTGCTGACAAGCCAAAAATGAATTTCTGCTGCTTTAAGACAATTCCAATTAAAAAAATGTAATACGTTGTTATCAATATTACATGACATTTACGAAGGCTAATAGCAGCAGTGACAGCTAACTGTAGCACTTCCGGTGCAGTTTGGAGCATTTCTGCCAGTAAAAGTTGATAAAAAACAGCAATTTAACAGCAATTTAACTTTGTTTATCCAAACAGCAATATGCAACAGGTAAGACATTAACTATTTAGAACTTCTCCCCAGAATTTCGGTTCAGAAGACCTGAACTACCCCTTTAGGCAAGCAATATGACAAACCCTCCCACGGTTTATTCAAGAATAATGCAGGACCAACACACCGATATCAGAGGCAGGGATTTGATAGAGTAGGCCCATTTCAGTGCAGCTCTCTGCCAAGACAGCTGATGAAGGGGACCTGCTTATGGTCTTCTCTGGGCCAACGWTATAATAGAGAGGCACTGGCACTCCCAGCTAATTCACATGGGGCAGATACACAATGCAGACACCGTGCACGTTAGATCCAGCCCCCACCCTCACCTCCTCCTCTCACACACGTGCAGAGAAACACACGCAATAACTGCTGCCTCATCCATCATGCTGAATGAGAAATACTGAGGAGATCTGCAGCCAAATGCCACCAAATTCCCTCAGTGTTGTTTTATGGGATTATGAATTAGCGGTTTGAATGGGCCATCTGCCTCACAGTCATTAGGAGGCCCATATGCCAATGTATGAATGGAGGACTTGCTCACACATGAGTGCATGTGCACACGCAAACGACAACCCCACCAGTAATAGTCCTTTTTATTTTGCGCTCTGTGTGGAGTGCTGTTGCCATTTATATCCCATCGTTACATATGGAGGAGACCCAGGGTTTGTCATTGGTGTGAGTCTCTGCAGTCTGAGTTTTATAAAGTAAGGACACATGCTGGCAAGGCGTAACACCCCGCTTCATTATTTAACAGATGAACTCGGCTTGGGTAATTCAGAAGCCTAAAGAGGACGTGAAAAACCTACAAATCCCTTTCATGGCCAATAAGAATATTAATATCAGTGTGTGACTTCCTGCACGTCCCATCACATTTAAATATTTCCTATTAATTGACTTATTTAAATTTCATTGAATAGTCACACAACAAATGTGTACTGTATGTTAATTAACACWGCATCACTGAAAAACCGTTTGACATATTTATTTCTGGTGTGGTTTTATCAGCCATGCAGAGGAAGCCTGTGGTCACTGAGGTCCGAACCCCAACCGACACCTGGAGTGGCCTCGGCTTCTCCAAGTCCATGCCTGCTGAGGCAGTCAAGGAGCTCCGCAACATCAGCCGGCGCAGCTACAAACCTTACCTGAGCACGGGCAATACCCAGCAGGTACACATGAATCTAGTACTGAATGTACCGGTAATAGATGAAGAAATTTAAAAGCTGCAATTTAGGTAAATATTAATTGTCCTAAAAGCACTMTGATACGTTGCATGACCGTTTGTTTACAGTGTTCAGCCATGTTTTAAAAATGATTTTACAAGGTCCCCACATCTACAAACATTCAAATGTGCATTTTATTTTATTTTATTTTTTGCCATGATGTTGCACTGATGACAGGAAAATTGGGCCCCTATTTAAATTCTACTCTTGCTCATCCCAAATGTTCTCAGCAAGATGAAGATCTGGACTCTGGAGGCCATCATCAGTAAAGATGTGGCAGTTCAGTAATCCTCTTGGTCCTAGTTTAAAATGACCCTCCATGTTTAAGAGCSAGGCCTCAGGGGTCATTTTGAGCTTAGGGCAGCAAGCAGGTGACCTGATCTATTTTTTTATTGCTAACTACCCCACCAGCATAGGGCAGGCAATCATGGTTTTGGCTTTGTTTAGGTGTAATTTTGTGCACGTMTCTGTCATTTAGTAAAATAACTCATGAACCACTGGATAGATTGTAATGAAACTCTGAAAATCTCTCATGGTGTTTGTTCATAGAACTTAACATAAAAGCGTTTTGTAGCATAAAAAAAATCAAGTTGTCTACACGCTTCAATGAGTTTACTTATTTTTAAAAAGACAGGGCTACCCAGAAAAAAACACCTTCACTCAAATGTTGAGTACAATGAACACTTCTGTCACCACTCAAACAGAAAATCCTAAGTTTTTACAACATGAAAAGTTACTTTAGGAATTTAAAAAGAAATTGCATGGATATATGTGAAAAAGCAACTTAATACTTAATATAACAAAAAAAAWCTAAATTAATATTAGGTGGCTTTAACTTATTTATGCTTTGGGAGGTCAAAGTAAGTCACACTGGTTTACTAAACCAGTTGAATTAAATAAGCCTAAAATTACACGTTGGATTTACTTAATAAAAGGCCGGTGGCATAAAATTTTTGTTATGGATAGTATTATATTTTTTGAAGATAATATTGATAACATATTGCAAAACATGTCACACCACTGAGGTGAACAGCTGTTGAGATATATGTGAAGAAACGGGAAGTGATGACGAAGGCGAATGTCTGCATGTGAACAGAACATTGCTACAACAGCTAACACTAATCTGATGTTTCTTTAGATTATTTTGAACCACTGTCAGGGAGATGAAGAAGAATCAGAGTTCTAATAATATTGTTTCAATAAACAAAAACCAGAGAGTTCCTTGTTTTTAAGAGTTCCCCTTTGATGTCACTTCCTGTTTCACTTTGGCTGAACCAATTAAAAAAAACTTATGTAAAAAATCTGATAAAACCGTGTTTATTATGTCTAGTTTGTTAAATGTAAAAATGTTTTCTTTTGTATTTGAAGGATGTGCACATCCTGAGTTGGAATGGTTTATTTTAACGAATGAATAAACTGCGACAGCTAAGCGATCTTAGCAAACACTAACAAATGTGGCAGCTGGGTTGTTCACATCACATCCTCTGTACGTTTACGAGACTTTTGTTTAACAGACATGCAAAGCAGGATACAAAAATTCAATTGTTTTTTGTTTTTATGACACCATCAGGTGAGTTTTGATTCCTAAAGAATTATTTCTTCTCTAGGAATTATGGTCCGATGAGGCATTTTCAAACCTGATGCTAGTGCTTCTAGCGATTTTCTTGCCATCTTACTTTCCTGTATGTTTGGTGCCTTTATGTAATCAGAATTAGAGTAAACCTTTTTCACAAGCATTAGATGTATGTTCTGAGTTGATTGTTTCCAAAATGAGATGCCAATCACTGCATCAGTGTTAATAATTAGCTGCTAACTGAAKCACAATAACTGTAGTGTTATTCCAGTGTTCGGGCTCTTAGACATCTGCTCAGCTAAACACAGGAGGTGACCTTTTTTTTTTACAGCCAGACACTGCAGTAACTGATTGAGTTTTGTTGTTGATGCATGTACTTGAGATGCAATTTTTGTCTCTCTTCTTTCGCTGCACTGCAGCCTCATTTATTGCTACCACCCTCCCAACAYGTTTGCAGCATTTATCTCTCTGTGTGGTAAGCGCTGCCAATTTGCACGCTCAATTACCTTGGATCCGATACCATCAACACGGTCAACGCAGCAACCTGTTTACCTGACCTGTTTTAGCTAATCTTTCTGGCACTTTAGAAGATTTTTGTCYCCTGTTCTCTGGCTACCCAGATTACATATAGACACACAAAAGATGGTGAGCAGATGCAGCATTTTACACATATGTATTTTGGAGAGACTAAATGAGAGTTTGCCTGAATTTTAGATCAAGATCATCTTATGCTGAGAAGTGACAGAGCTGTYATCTTTTTGGACAAACTAAAATTAACATTATGCATGATTTAATGTAGTATGTTATATGTGTGATGCTGAATGATAAACAACAATGAAWTTTTAACTGTTTCTTTCACCGGGTCTCCGTTTAGTCCTGGGCTGCCCAGACAGGAAAAATGTGTAACAGCAGCAACTCAGAAAACTGGAGGGACAGACGTGGATCATCACCCCATCCCGTCTCCTCTTCTCCCCCCTCTTCGCCCACCTTCTCGTCTTCCGCTGCCTCCTTTCCTGCATTCACATCCTCGCTCAGCAGAAGCAGATACGACAAACCCTGTAAGTTCTACTTGCTTTCAAAGCACAGCAAAACAAGATGGATCACAGCCTGCTATCCTCTGATCCCTGACCTTTGATGCTCAGCGGAAAGCTTCGTCAGCGGCAGTTTCTTTGAGGGCGTGTGCTCGAGGAGGGCGTCGACCTGCAGCCAGCGGAGCCCCTCCCCCCTGATGACAGACGACCTGCCTGAGCTGCTCAGCCAACTCGGATTGATCAAATACATCGATGTGTTCGAGCAACAAGAGGTAAAACGTGCCGTGAGAGAAACACTCTTTAGTCAAATTATCAGAAGTTTTCACAAAAAAAATACAAAAATGAATAAAAAATAAATAAAAAGAAGAATCACGTTTAATAATCTCAGGTAAAAGAGTTCATAAAGTTAATTTTGTGCAGTGTTTTAGAGAACATAATTGRAATAAGTAATCTCAGAAATGACATAAAACAGTTTGTAAATTATTGTACTTTAAAATAGAGCAAAACATGTTTTGGAGTTATCAAACTACACTCAAAAAACAGATGTAGTGGATTTAATTAAAGAAATTATGTCAACTATTTCCAGTCAATTGAACTGAGTAAAGACAACATGTTTGCTTCTGTTTTTTGAGTGTGCACTTTTCATATTATTCACTTGCATATTTGATTTTTCTTTACCACTCAAGGTCAAAGGCAGGTCAACATTTTATTTTCTTCTAATGAATCACTTACCAGATTTCAATAAAGCTTTAGACGTTTGTGGAAACATGTCTGTAACTAATGCTGAATATTGGTTTGTTTTACAAAAACAATGCAAGAAGAATGTGTCATAAAGTGAGAACKTACTAACACTTTGTAAAACAACAACAACACAAAATAAAAGTCAAAAGTGCTGAAATTGTAAGATTTAGTTAAAAACTTTGGTTATAGGCTACTCAAAGATAGAAAAAAATAGTCAAATAATTTATGGATGCATTTTTGTATCAGGATCTGATTAWAGAAAACGAGGAAATTTTATTTTAAAAGTTCACTTGCACAAACTATTGTAAAACATATTTGTAGTTTATATTTGTACTCTTAGTTCACAGAGTTAAATTATGGAATGATCTGGCAATCTACTCAAAAATGACTAATTTAGGAATCTAAAGCACTTGATTTTATGATTTTTTTGGCAAAAATGATAGTAAAGATTAGTTGGCATTTAGTTTTGTACATGGGTTTCACTTGTGAATGAATTTGTATGTAAACAGGACCACATATAATCTGTTATCTTTATAATTAAAAGAGGAAATATAAATACAACCTTTATTCTATCTGCTCCCTTTAGGCACAAATGTTGTGCAGCTTTCCTGAGCTTTTTCAGACCTGTGTATTTAAATGTGTTAATATGAATGTTATTTGTAAAACTGAATAAGTGAATTAAATAAATTAAATTAAATGATAAACAATCACTGTTCAGCAGCAGCCTGAGTTGCTGATAAGTTAGATAGAGCCTAAAACAAACACGTTCATTCTTGTTCTCCAGTTAGAGGATTCATGCATAATGCATGAACAGCATGACAACCTCTATCTGCGCTCCCCCAGATCGACTACCAAACATTCCTCACTCTGTCCGATGAAGATCTGAAAGAAGTTGGCGTCTCTACCTTTGGAGCCAGACGCAAGATGCTGCTCGCAATCTCAGGTGACCTAAACGGCTCACAATTTTTTAGTTCATGTTTGTGCCATTTACTAAAACAACTCGCATTCTGATCCAGACCTGAACAAAAGCAGGAGGAGGCCGTCCGACTCACCTGCCGTCAAGCCCAGCTTCCTGGAAGGAGGCGCGAGCGGCAGGCTCCTACAAACCATGGATGTGGATGCTGCAGCTCAGAGTAACCACTGGTGAGGAGAGAGGCCGGTCAGCTCACAGCTCCACCAGAGGTCGTCTYTRAATTATACACTCGTGCTGTTGCCAGCCAATTTCATTTACCAGAAATGGAAAAAAAAGGAAAGCACAAAAGCGCAGCAAAGATAATGTAATATTTAAATCCAGCATCTTTTCTTTGGCAGCAAAACCCCAAAGTTTATTTTCATACCACTCAAGATAAAKCCAAGACTTTACGTGGACAAGTTGTATGCAGCTTTTGTGGTATTTTTTTTTATCAGAATAAAGTGCCTTACTTATGCAAATTAGTTGCCTTGACTAGGTTAACCTGTTTGTTTATGCAGCTGTAAATAAATATTTCCAAAAGAAAACAGTATTCCAAAAATATTAATGATGATTAAAATAGTTTGGTATTAAACAACTCTGTGCATTTAGAGTTTTTAGTGGGATAAAAAAAATACATTGTGAATCCATTCATCCATTTTTTTTACCAGTCTTTTCTTTTCCGAGTCACGGGGAGCTGGTACCAGCAGTGTGAGGGGACGGGGGACACCCTGGACAGGTTGCAAGTCCATCCCAGGGACACAATCAATTATTTGCAATCTTCTCCTGTAGGAACAATTTAGAGTTAGCAGTTGAGCTAACATGCATGTTCTTGTTCTGTGCGATGAAACAGGAGCACCTGGACAAAATCAATACACAGGAAGAGCATGCAAACTACCCAGAAAGACCCCAGGCTGTGGCAAACCTGCAACTTTCTCGCTGAGAGGGGATCCCTCTAACCACTGCCTACATTGTAAATAAAATGCAAAGCATAAAATATAAGAATCTACAGTGTATTTATTTTTAATAAAGTGGCGTATTAGGCTTCATTTTCTATTCATGAGAGAAGATTTTTAGCAATCTCTGACCGGTTCTCATCTCAAAGATGCAAATTCTCCACTAGAGGGCACTGGTGTCACACTGAGTCAGAAAAATAGTGTCACGAAAAATAAAGGATGTGTTTCAAATTTATGTGTTTCTGTTGACAGCAGCATTACAGTTTCTGGTGGACAAGCTTTAAATTATATGCGAACAACAAACCAGAGATGAAAAAAAATTACATTAAAACAAATACATGGAGGAAATCTTGCTCTGATTTTAATGTCCTTCAGCTGTTTATTTTTTTCATTTTGTGAAAAAAATGACCCTTTAAATTTTTAGTACTAGAGAGTTGTAAGTTCAGTTAGCACAGGATGTTGTTGGTTTAACGTGGAAATGAGAGATCTTCTGCTTGGGCGCATGAAGGAAGCCTGACATGTTCAGGAGCTCCACAGGCTGCCCAGTTTCAGTGTCAGCTAAGCATGAAAAAGAGAGTGAGGGGAAGTAGTGGGTTGTGACCAATTAAGGAGAGATGATCCGTACTTATTACAAAGTCTCTGCCAATTACATAGACAGGCTTTGGACCAGTGATCCCCAAATCTGGTCCTTGGGCTCTGGAGCACTGTTGGATTTCTCTTCTGTCAGGTAGTTAATTGCATCCCTCTGAGGTCAGAGGCCCACATCGGTCCGTGATCTCGCAGCCACAATGAAAAGTGCTATGGGAAAAATGAGCAGTGCCTTGATCCTTGGCAACTGAGTCATTTTTCTTTCACATGTTASAATGGAAGTTTGGGCACATGGCATGGTTACGTGATGAACACGCTAAACACAGCTAGGAAAAGACTATTTGCAACTTGTCTAGGGCTTTTACTGAAGTATTGTTCAATAAAATAATAAAAACGTCTGTAAAATACTATTATTATTTATTTATTTATTTACCATTATTTAACCAGGCAAGTCCCGTTGATTTCAGATCTCTTTTTCAAGGGAGGCAACCTATTGTACATGTTCTTTGGGGGTGGGGGAAACCAGAGCATTAAGCATGAGAAGAACATACTGACACCGCAAAGAAAGTCCSCAGGTCCGAGCCGGGGATTGAACCCAGGACCTTCTTGCTGTGAGGCGTTGGTGCTAACTAGTGAGCTGATGTGCTGCCACCATACWCTTTGAATCCTTGTAGCTGATGATTCGAATATAAAAAGGTGACCTAGGAAGTAGGGGTGAAACGATACAGAAAATTCACGATTCGGTTCGGTTCGATACTTTAGTCTTACAGTTCGATATTTTTTTCAATGCAAAAAAGAGAACTTTCCATGCCCCTTTTAAACTTCTATTTTATTTCAAATAATTATGAACATTTGTTTAATCTCAAAAGTACAGGTTTTAAATTAAATGTTGCTGAAACAGAAGGTTTCTCAGTGATCTGAGTTCGACAATGCAGCCTAGGTGGAGTAGTCGAACACAGATCCACTGAGCCTTCAACAAAGAGCATCTTTAGAAGACAAGTTGATATAATAAATTTAGAAAACCTGTATTGTTCGATACATAGTGTGTATTGAACCTAAAGCYCTGTATTGAACGGTTCGATACGGGTACATGTATTGTTGCACCCCTACTAGGAAGGTGAGTYTGGTTGTCCACTGATATTGACATGAATGCAACTTAAAGTATGACAGACTCATTCAAAGAGAAACTAAAGTTTCTCATATTGTAATGTGTAATTTTTATCACCTGCCACTGATGGCAAGAGGCAACATTGTTTTTGTCTATGTGAGAGTTTGTAGGCCTAACATTAGCTAAATATCTCATATCTTATTTCATGAACCAGCAGATGGGTTTTAATTAAACTTTCAGAAAGCATTCATTAGATCTACAACTAACCACACTTCAAAACTTGTCCATCTAACCAAGTCTTACCATCTTATATTGAGCCAAAAAATATTTTTGATCTTGTTTAGAGYCTGATAAACTAAYCAAGAGCAGAACGTGTTAGATTATTAATCTTGTTAACCTGGAAATTTTTACTTATCTCTAGAAGTCTTACCTATCACCACTGTCTTACTGCCCTGGTAGGTTAATTTACTTAATTTGAGACTACAATGTAGTATTTCTTAGTTTATTTTTAGATGGACAATTTTTGCAACGAAATTTTTGGAGGGAACTCCATTCAACATGGCCGACACAGCTAAGCAACCTTAGCATATACAATAAGACTTTTTGCGGTATACGAAGTCCTGTTAAGTCCGAGGTTTCTTAATTTTCACGATATAATCTGTATTTCATCTGTTTATTTATATCCTTCTTGTAAGTTGCCTAAAAAGTTTTCGAATAWTTGTGCTGAAAGTTAAAATACTACCACTACCCATCACCAGATTGCTTAACATTGCACAATAGTGTGTGAAACACTTTTAAGATTTTTCCCCCCACACCTATCTACCATCAGCTCACAAATTCTTAACTTCTGTAGGAAAAGTCAAAGACAAATGAACAGGAACCAGCATTGAAAAAACAAACTAACATATTTTTTAAAAACAAAACAAAACAAAACAAAAAATGACACCCCCATCTGTGTGTATCACCTGTCTCCATGGTTATCTTGGGTTGATGGGAGGCTCCACCCAGCAGGAGCACCAGCTGTGGGTAATAAAGAAGGAGCTAATAGAGAAATGAAACAGAGCAACGAAGTGCCCGAGGATAAAACATAACCACACATTCCCCTTACTGTGATGAAGATGGAACTCACTCCAGGAAAGTGAGAATAAGAGCAGAAGAAAATAGAAACAGTAATAACATTGTGTGTGTGTGTGTATGTGCGTGCGTGCGTGCGTGCGTGTGTGTGTGTGTGTGTGTTTTAAAATCAACGGGGGTTGAAAATGAACACTGTGTGATGGATGTTTCTGAAGCTACTAAATTAATTGCCATGTGATCTAAAAACAAAGCGATTAAAGGATTTTGGATTATTTTAATGTATCTTAATGTCTAACAATACTTTGCTCCAATTACAAATGAAACTTCCAGTTTTTTGTTTCCACTGAGCTGGCAGCTGCAAGAGTTAATGTGCTACAGATGCTCGGACAAAGCCAGGCAAGCTGTTTCTCTGCGCTGCCCRCATCTTCATTTATGTTGAGCTACTTAAAAAAAAAGAGGAAAAGCAAAAAAAGCAAAAATGCATTTGTAAAAACAAACCTTTAGGATGGATTTGAACTGTTCTACCCTGCAAGAAAGTTCCTGATTTAGATATCAACTTCTGCTTTTTTTTTTTTTTTTTTTTTTTGGTGGAGCCTTTCTCTGGATTTTTCAGCTTCCTGCCACAGAATCACTGACATCGGTAACTTTGTGTTTCTAATTTGACTGTAAAGTTGAATCTGAGCATCCAGGGTTGCTTCTTCTTCCAGGACATCTTGGGCAGACTCTAGCCAGCATGCAGTACATTTATTAGCTGTTATTGTTCCTGTTTTGAGATATTAAGTAATGTGTGGAATTTACACAGGGGTATAATGTGTTTTGGAACAAGTTGATYACAACCAAAAAAGAAAGCTAATTTATTCATAAACCCTAAAGACACAAGARGATACTCTAGCTGGAGTCCCAGAGTTGTTAACACGTTTGGTTTGCACAGTTAGGCCAATTCTTTATTCGGCCTGACAGCATCTGTTGTGGACTGCTGAGTAAGTGTTTTCWAGCCAAAAGATTACGTTGTCCTTTCAGCCTCTGATTGTTGGTATGGTGTGTTTTTAGAGTGCTGAGCATGCAGTTTCAGAGTAGTGAGGTCAGCTGTCCCATTAGCCAGTGATATTACAAAAAACACTCATTAAGCCTTCATGTTCTGTTTGATCTTTGCTGACATGATCTTTGCTGGCTTTGTCATTATCCCCGCCCCCTCTCTCTCTCACTCTCTCGCTTTCTCTCTCAAAGCCATGTGATAAGAGTATTTCATGTTGTTGCRATTTATCTCTGGTTCTAGGGATGCTTCTTTCCCAAGGCTGGAAAAGGTCAGAACTGATAGAGGGCTTTGATTGTTTGACTGCAGAGAAATCCAGGCTTCAGAAAAAAATACAACCCAACAGCCAACATCGTGAACGTCTCTGTACTTTTAAKGTGAGGAAAAGAAAGAAAGCGTTTTTGCCAGCTTGTGCAACTTGTGTCAGAGAATTATGTTATCTCTGTTTAACCGTTAGGTTGGACATCGATGGGGTTGTGTGACTCTTATTAAAAGTGGGAAATCCCACCCTAAATTGAGAAAACTCTTTTCAGGTAGACAAACCTAATAGAAGCCAAGATGTTTCACCTTCTTCTTCAGTCAAATCTGACCAGCCCTAACAAATCACAGGATGAAAAGGGTTTGGAGTCAATAACTCATGTGARCATTGCTCGAAGCCTGAGGTGGAGATTTTTGGCATGGTCTCAAGTTCCAGAGAAAAGAAGGCACAAATAGGAAAAAGGTTAGGATTCTCCCATATATCCATTCTGCAAGGCCCCCTTTGAGGGGTTATCCTGTATTGTGCCTGCATACCAACGTGGTATCTGATCACTCTGATTCCTGCTCATTGAAGTTTGGGTTGTGGTGCGGGTCACTCCACTGATCTGGTCTTGGCAGCCTGCTCTGAGGGCTCATTAGAATAGACCAWTTRYTAGTTAAAAATTGTTACATATGCACATGCGGTGCATATGTGTTGGTTTCATTTTCTTTTTAATATGTTATTTGGTGTAGTGATTTATGACATTAACATGATTTGTTTTTGTAGTGCCTGTCTGCCTCGTTTACTTTTTTATATTATTTTTTTTCTACTTTTGTATCTAGCCTGTATGGTTCCTTAGCTACAAGCTAAATGCTAGCCCACAAACTTGGCACAGCTGGTAAAAATAAAGTACAAGGATAATGACGTCAATGAGAAATTTGGTCAAATAAGAAAAATGTGCGAGGTGTCATTCAGAGAACAAGAGACACAGGCCAGTAAGTTTCAAAAGACACTTGACGTGCCACTTTACTGAAATTTTCAAATAAATAAATGTTCACGTATTTGACATGGTGAAGATTTCAATTTCAAATCACTGAACATWTCCAATGTTGGGAGGCACAGCAGAGTCTGGTCTCTGCTCGACACTGTATGTCCTCCCAGCTCAGGAGCAGCTTCCTCTACTCGTGTCCATGCACAGACAAAACGCCTCAACAGCCCCTATAAACCATTCAGCGAAAGAACAGCTGGCCGAAACCCCGCAGGTTTGCACTYTAGGCCTTAACAGTTTGCGTTTCTATCATTCTACCTCTCTGTAATGCAACAGCCTACCTCCTGAGATTGGGAGAAGAACCAAAAGGACACTAGACAGCATCAACATAGCAACAAAGTATTGTAGCAGCCAAACAGGCATCGCTTTCTGTTTGAGATGCATAGAGCTGGACCTGGCCAGGCAAATCTCTCTTTTACAGATACAAGATGAGAAACATGCAACAACAACAACAAATACACATCATTAATCTCATTGTTTCCRGGGCTTTCTGGACACATTCAGGATTAACAAGTAATTTACAATCCTCCATAAAATACAGAAAGATTTGGGGGCATCTCAAAGTCTTAGAGCGTGGCAGCAAACACTGAAAGGAGCCCGATGGTGGACCACAGACCATGAGGATGAACCGCTGATGGAACAACAGGGCAAAGAGATCCACAGTGAAACCTCTGTGGAGGAACCATATTTACATCCAATATATCAGCTAATGCATCGGGACTCACACACTGATCAGAGACACTGATACTGACATACAGCAAAGGGAGAGAAAAAGGGGCTCAAAGAAAGAAGTGTCTGTGTTTGAAGGGTTTACAGATTGTAGTGTTTTGGAGAAGCTAAAAGTGGATTGAGCACAGTCCTTTCAAGGGCTTGACGGTTGTTTCAATTTTATGAGCTCTGTTTGGCATTTGAGGGGAAGAGTAGAACACTTGAAAATAAAGTTTGTGTGAAGTTCACTGAAGAGAGATAAAGAGAACTGATGAGGCGCAGGGACAYGAGCAGGCTCAGGAGCCAAAGGATGGACTGCTGCCAAGATAACTGGAGGAGGAGACGTTGGAATGGCTTTAGATCTGTGCCGAGTTAACAGAGTTTCGTGGTCAGCTGATGGCAAAGTAAAATGGAATGAAGCTACCAAATATAGCCAATTTCATCATCCTTGTCTTCTTCCTCGTCTTCATCGTCCTCGTTGGCTCCCCGGGGGTGGATTCGGCCCCGTCTTTTCTTCTGCCGGCTCCGCTCGCTCTGTGTTGGTTCCTCTTCTTGGTCATCGAGGAGAATGACTGCACCACCACTGCCGAAATCCCCTGACGTCTCCGTTTCTTCATCTATAGACAGATGACCAGAATACAGACAAATAAGAAGTGAATTAGGGCTCAMTCTACACTACTCCTGATATTTTATAACCAGATATATATTATGTTTTTCTTGGTCCACACAAACTAAAAAATTCTCATATTGGGAACATCAAATTACAGGTAAAGAACATTGGTGGCAGCTAAAGATTCTCCCCAATTTTTTATACCATTTGTCTAAGGTATTTACCAAGCAAAGACTGATGGTGTTAGTATCAGGACAAAGTAAAACAAATCCCAAAAAGCAGAAAAAACAGCTCCACAAGTTTGTTTCTGGGGGGGAGCTGATGTGTGACAAGCTGGCTACTACATTGCTACTTCTGAAAAGCTCTGTATTTCCTGTCCACATAGAAGGATCAATAAAAGAAGTCTTAAAATTTTGAAAAATTGCTTTTATTTCTTTTAAACACAACAGAAAATATCCAGTTTTGAGAACATCACAACTCTGACCAAAAGATTGAGAATACATTTCTTTGTCTGTTTTAAAGCCTATGTCAAACTTTTGAAATCCAAAAGACAAATCTTATTTTCTTTATTTACGTTTTCCAAATCACTCACACACACACACACACACACACACACACACACACACACACACACACACACA